TACAACAACACAAACCAAGCCGAGTTTTTTTTATAAATAAATTTCTTTTTTCTTATGTCACGATAATATTATTTAATATATTTTATTAATGCTTTTGGATGTAGTTGAGCTTAAGAGTCGCTTTGTTACTGTTATTGTTGCAGCTATTGCTTAAAATGATTTAATAGTACTCTTTAAGTTGTTATTTCAACCGCACCCACATCTATATAGTATGTACTTGAATAATTGAATTGATTACTTTTACATTTTAAGCTACTGGGTGTATTCAGTGACTGTTGATGACTCGACTCAAGTGCTGCTGCTGTTGCTGCTGCGGCTGATGCTGCCCAAAACAAACACACACACATAAATCAGTGCTAAGTGTTACCTTTGAAAAGTACGTGAATTTTGCTGGTCATATGTCTGTCGACTCTCCACTCCTCACCCCAGCTTGGAGTCAATAGTTGGAGCTAAGCGCCAAACATCATGAGCCATGCGTCATGTGAAGCGTCACTCAAACTGAGATCCAAGAGAAACCTGAAACAGGAAGAAACCCGTTTCTTGTTGTGCGAATGCATGTGTGTGTGTGTGTGTGTTGGGTTTGGGGAGGGAGTGGAACCAATCAAGCCAAGCACCAAGTAAAAGAGGACCAAAGCATAAAAGCAAAATCCAAAATCAAAAAGCCAAACAACAAACAACAAACTGGAGCCCTGCTCAGCTCTCGTTGGCTGGCGGCAATTTTCATGTGATTAGTCATCGAACGAGAAGCAACCGAGTAAAAATCTATGCCCAGACAAGACATGGGGGCCAGGTGTGCTTAGAGGTGAGGAGGAGAGGGGGGCTGGGCTGTATCGCTTATTGAGAGAGATACAGAGAGCTTTCGATAGAGAGAGAGAGAGAGAGAGTGGCACTTGAATGTTTCCTTCAAAATACAAAACTAAAATTCAAATTTTTTTTTGCTCGTCACATTAGAATAGTTTCTAATAAAATGTTTTTTATTGACTCGCTGAGTTTGTTGTTGTTTTAATCCAGGCAGCAACTTTCAAAGTGGTTTTTTGGGTTTTGTCTTTGTCTGCGGGCCCCGTGGGCCAATCAATTTTTATCGTTTTGCTTTAATTTGATGAGATTTTTATCGATTTCTTGTTCTGCCCAGCCTGACTCGTCGCTGCTGTGGCAGCCTCATCTTTTGTTTTGCATAAATTAAATGGCTAATGGCCATAAATTGTATACTTGTTGGTGTTGTTGTTGTTGTTGCTGCTGCTTTTGTTGTGTCTCGGTTTAAACGCTGCTGCGATTTATTGGCTGACCTTCAGCATTATAAATAATTAAACTTACAACAAAACATAAACGAACAGCTGGCTGCGGCATGTCGAAGAATGAAGACACTTGCAACACAGCAATTAAATTGTTTCAAGAGCACTAAGGAATTTACAGTTTACTAAGCGATTCTAGCTATGATCTTGTCAAATAGTTTAGAGCGAATTCAACTGTTAAATGACAATAAAAAATAATCAGCCTCAAATATTTTTCATATCTTTTCTATCATTGTCAGACTGAATTTTTCTCTAGCAAAATAATATTAAGTAAAAACTTAAAGAAAGAAAGACCCCATAAAATATATTCTTAATCAACATCAAGAGTCGAGTTCTTCTTATTAAAAAGTCGTTCTCAATATAAGATTTCATATATTATACGCAAATCAAATTTATATATCGATAGAAATCGATTTCCAATTGCAATAAAAGCCACAATGGCAAAGCTACGCAGACTTATTTCAGCAATTCAAACTTTCTCGAGAATTCTAACATGTTTTAAAGCTGACTTCTTGAAGTGATTCTTCAAAACTGACTAATTTCTAAATAAATAAACTGAGAAATAAACGAACAGACATGTTTGCTTTTATACTTAGCTCGTTAGTTATGTCGCCCAATTTATGTATATATTTAGCTAAAATTCGTCCTCATTCATTAAATCAAATGTATATAACACTAAATGCTTTATTATCAAACAGTTTACTTTCTAGATGCAAGCAGCTAAGTTCATGTCCAGGTTCAGCTGCACTACGAAATGGCTGCAATTGTTACGCAACCCTTCAACAACAGCAACAACAGCAGTTGCAGCATCAAATAAAAAACAACAGTATTTGCTGGGCAACATGTTTCACAGTTGGCCACAGCAACGGCAGCTGTTAACGGGGCAACTGCAGAACAAAACGGCAGCAGTTGCTGCTGCACAAAAATTGGCCAAAACGATCATGTTTTGCAGCAGCCGCAGCAGCAACGACAACAGTTATGGCAATTGCCAAAGTTGCAGTTGCAAAAATCAAACAGAAAGCCACAAAAAGCACGAAAAAACAAATGCAGCCAACAAACGATAAAAAGCCATTCAATGTTGGCCAAAAAGTCAACAGCAGCAACAGCAACAACAACTGTTGCAGTCAAATGGCAACAACAACAACACCAGCAGCAGCAGCAGCAGTTCAGCAACAATGTTGCCAGCTTTGTGGCGAATGTTGAACCAGCGACAACAACAACAACAATAGCAACAGCGACTCAGTCAAGTTTCTTCTACTGCTACTCTGTCTTCTTCTTTGCGCTGAGGTTACAACAAGGTAAACTTGCTGCCATGTTATTGTATCTGCGCTTTGATCTCTCGCCTCAGACAATAGAACAAAGCGAAAAGTTGTTGCTGTTGCTCGTAAAACAACAACAGCAACAACATAAGCAACAGCACCAGCAACAGCTGAAGAATTATGGGAGGAGGTCAATGCTGCAATTGTTAACTGCTAATTAGCAGTCAAAACGAGCGAGAGAGAGAGACAGATGGAGAGAGAAAGAGAGGGAGCGAGAGGATTGCATGTTACAATCGATATGTGCCCGCGGACATATCGAGAACCGGTTAACAGAAAACAAAAGAAGTTGCCGCTGTTGTTGTTGCTGTAGCAACAGTGAACAAATTAGACATTTGACATGCTACACACACACACACAAAGACAAATTGTAAACAATAAAATGCACAATGTAACAATATGTTTTGGATGTCGTTCAAGATCACTCGCAACCATTAAAATTAATCTATGCTCAAAAGCAAACAATTTGCTCATCGTTAATGTTGCTTTGTTATCGAAAGCATAACAAGTTCACATTGTTATCAGTAACATCTGAATCGATACATATTATTATCGAAAAGTGATTTTATTTACAGCTGATATCGATACTATTTTCTGCTTTCGTTTCTCATGTTTACACTCTGCTCTGCTATTATTCGATACAGTCAATAGCTGTCACAGCCTGCATTCCCCCCCCCCCCCCCCTCCTTCAACAACCCTCTCGCACTCTTTTTTCTCCCCACACCACATCATTCGGCTTCTGCTTAAATTATGACAGCAGAGGCTGTAAATTAACATTTGGGGCCGACGCATTTAGCCACACACTTAAAAAGAGTTCAAGAACATAAACAAAGCAATGGACGTGCTCGACACAAGAAGAAGAAGAAGATAAAGAAAACCAACCGCCAGAGCCAATCAACTTACAAAAGTCGTCGATGCCAATGCCGACAACCTTGGCTGAAAAGGTGGAAAAAGCGCAATGCGAGGGGAGCGGAGAGCGAGGAGGGAGGAGGAAGTTGTTGCTGCTGACTGCTGCCAACTGATAAAAGCACAGACCGCACATAAACCCAGTTACGAACAAGTAAGAGTGACCATCTCAAATATGCTCGCTTGCCTGTATACCCTGTATTTGTTGTTCCGAATGTACAAACTGCAAATATTTGAAAATATTGTTGTAATTGTAAAAGGTGTTAAGCACAACCATATTTCATTTCACCACATATATGCGGTCTGTTATTTATAGCTTCTCTTTGTACAGGGTATGTAAGAGTAGGTGAAGAGCTCAAATGCAACTGCAACAGCAACAGCAACGAGCAATAAACACGAAAAACCGCAAGCTGACGTAGTCAAAATAATAATGAGCCAACATTTAAAATGGTTTATGAGATGGCAGCGTCATTATCATCGTCAGCAACAACAACAAAAACAACAATGAACGATGATGATGATGACGATGTCCATCATCATTATTACAATACACCTACGGCACAGCCACAGACGAAGAGTCTTCGATTTTTCTGGGTCAAGCCACACGCGAAAGACGCGACACGACAAACCAGAGGAAGAGGCAGACGCAGAGGAAGACGAAGGCAGAAAGAAATGTGCGATAGAGTTCAAAACGTGCCCGAGCCGCATCGTTAAAAGCTTCTCTTAACTGCGCACCGCTCTCGTGTGCACTTTTTTTTTTCTTTTTTTTTGTACATTGGAAACAACAATTTCCGGTGGCCTCCGGTGCTAAGCGCTGCACAATTGCAGTTACTCCAGCAACAGCTACAACGACAACAGACGCGATCCGCGATCCAAGCTGAGAGTCGCTGGGTCCACGGGTACCATGGGTTCCATGGGCTCCATGAGTCAGCGCCCCAAGAAAGTAGTTCAAGTGACCAATGGCGCCGTTACATTTCACTGCTTCAAGTGAAGTGAGCTGCTCTTGATTTTGCCCTGGGTTCGCCGCTTTGGCTTTTAGAGCTCGTGAGTATTTTTATTTTGCTCTTTTCAGCGAATTGGGCGTTAATTAAATTGTTTTCATTTCTGATTTTGTTTTTTATTTATTTTTTTATTTTGCGGTAAAATCTCAAGTGGGTGTAGCTCAAGAGACCAGCCTTCCAAAGCGAATTAAGTTAAGTTATCGATAAGTGGGCGGAAATGTTGGTTAAGGGCTCAAGCTGATATCTCGAGCATACAAAATATGCCAATATATACTATATAGATAAAAGTGTCAACTAATTAGTCGATTTTACCAATTCTTGAATCAAATAAAACTTTTTATAATAGAAACTTATTTGTTTGGTATTCAAATTTTGAAGAAAAAAAAAAATTGAAAATAATTAACTAAATTTTCTTTTCCCACCTCAACTCCAATACTTAACTAAATAAATTTACAATTATAGAATAAATAGGTTTCTTTACTCACCATTCCAAGTTGTAAATATTAATATTCCATTTGTCCTCGTTTTCAGTCTAATACGATTTATTTAGATATTCCCTAAAATGTTGCGTTCGCCAAACTCAAATTGAGTTAATTTTTATTGATTGTTTATTTGTAATTTGTTATAATATTGTTTACACACTTCTAAATGTATAATTTAAAATGTATTTTTTATATTATATTTTAATTAGGCTTATTGCATTTTTTATGCACTTTCTTTGCATACTTTATGCAAATTATGCCGATTATTTTTCTTGTTTGGTTGTTGTAAAAATGGTTTTATAAAAAATATTTGCACAATAACGAGAACGATAATAATTATTGCACAATGAATGCCGCTGCTTTTATTGTGTTGTGTTTTGTTTGGTTTTGTTGTTGTTGTTGTTTTTTTCACCTGCGAATTATTAACGGTAAATTAATCATTCAGTGTTGCCGTCGGTGTGAGCGATTGTGTGTGTGGGTTAACAAGCGACCAAGCAGCAAATTGACAAAAAAGTAAATAAACAAAATGCTGCAAAACGGCAACTGTTGAAGTTGCAAGGCACAGCCAAACGCGGAAGCTGCAAGCTGAAAACCAGATATATTTTTTTTCGTTTGCTACGCCATCCAATAAGAATCACACAAGCACACACACACACATATATATATATATATATACGTGCGCTTTCTTTGCAATTGTACATGTATATGTACGTGTATGTGGAATGTGTGTGTGTATGTGTGGGCTGTTCTTTTTTGCACTTGCTTGTTGGCTGCTTTCTTTGCTGCTGCTGGGTTTCATTTTACACGGCAGCAGAGCAGTGCGCTGCTGCTCTGCCGCTGCCTCTGCCACTGGCAAGCTACTCTTGCGTTGCGTTTTTCCTCACCTTTGCAGAGTTTATTGACATTTACAGCATTTGCTTTTGTGCGCTGCTTTCTTTGAGTGAGCGTGCGCGCTCCCTATTTCTGTGTGTGTGTGTGTGTGCCTCTCTCTCTCTCTGTCTCTCTTCCACTCTCTCACACATACATATGAACAAGCACTTGTATTTTGTTGTTTTGTTTTCTTGCTTTTGTAGAGAATAACCTTCAATTTTATCTTATTGCGCTCTTGTCGCTGTTACACACACGCACACACACACATGCAGGCCCCACATTTGCTATTTGCTTTACAACTTTTGTTGTTTTACGCTGCTTGAATTAACATTCGCATTAGCTTCTGTTTCTTATGCAGCCAGAATTGAATTTTTGAACTACGCTTATTTTATTTATCATTGCTTGCATTTTGTAATTCCACTACGCATTCACATACACATATTCATATGGCTCACAACTACACCCACATTTCTACGATTCTGCAACAAAAACATGCACGGAGATTTTTGCCTAGGGCCATTTGATTTGTTGTTAATCAATTTGAAACTATGACTTAGTTTTATTTCAGAAATATTTAAATTTATTACTTTACATTGGATTGTGCTATTTTGAGTTGTTTTGTGAAATTGAACGAAATTTTGATAAATACTTTTTCCACAACGCTCGCGGCGCAACACAGACACGCGCGCGACTTCTCCGAACGGCATTTGTTTTGGTACTAACTGCAGTGTGACCGGTCGAGACTATTTGAAAAACGATACGTTCTTTGAGAGAATCAAAGGGAAACAGTAAAAGCGTAAGCCGACCAACAACTATTTATCGAAGATATACTGCAAAAAAAAATACTGATTCAATCAACACTGAGTCTGCAGTAAATACATGTTAATAACAGGCATATTTCCCTGTATTATTAATATTAATATATTAAAATATATTGCTAAACAAAGCGCCTTAAAATAAAAATCTTAAATCATGATTAATAAAATAAATTATTCATGCTGGCCGTAACTGCAATATAGGAAACCTTTAACAATACTGTTAATACTAGTGTTAAGACAGCTGTTGCTGGGTGCCCATAACATGTTTGCACGTGTACTTACCCAACACTGTTCGGAACACTTAAAACAGCAACAGCTGATTTCGGACCTGTAGTTTAATTTAGTACGCCATTTCGTGCGTGACGTGTTCTGTTGCCGTTTAGTTATTTCTAATTTTAAGCGTAAAGCAATCGCAATTTGAGATCCACTAAGTGGTTACCGGTTGCCAAACATATACGAATGTGTTAGTGAATAAAGTTTACAATTTATAGAGCTTATAAACGATTTAGTACAAATAAAAAAAACATATATCAACACAATGACAACCACCGATGTGCGAAAGCGGAAGGTAGGCAAAGGTTAAAGGGCAAAGTGAGCGTAATTTGTTTTTAAATACTCATTTCGGCGCGCTTCACAACACACACACAAACACCCCAATACATAATTGTGCCAAAATCTATTTAGATATTCAATTAATTGCTGCTGTCTATTTTGGCCCGGTTTTGTTATTTCTTTTTGTTTAGCGCGACCGGTGTATCTGAATATTATACATTTCTTACAGCTAATTTATGTGTGTAGATGTATTTGGGGGAATTAGTTAATAGCTTTAAATAGTAGCAGTTAATCACAATGTTAGACAACATTTTCATATATTTGTATTGCACATTTTTAAACGTTTAATAAATGCTGCTTTCGTTTTTTTTTCGAGCAAAGATTTGAAAATCATGTTTATGAAAATGCAGCAAAAATATTTGATAATTAAAGTTAATCAGAGAAGACAATATTCATAAACGTTTATTTAAAGGTGCTGCTTTGATGTCTTATAATTTTTAAGCAAAATGTTAACATCTGTTTTGGCATTACCATTCAAAATTAAATGTTCGTTTTTCTGCGCTTGAAAAGCTGTCCAACTGGCTTACCGCTTTCTTGTATACATACTCGTACATAGAAAAGAATATATTATCGGGTGATTTACATAATTAAAATAGTTACGCACGCCACAAATTCCCGGTCGCCGCCGGTTAAATTTCCGTAAGTGCGGCGATTAGCAGCAAGGTCGTTAAATTGTTGGCATGCAAGACGATTTTATTGGGCAAACTCAATTGCATTCCCTTCGAGATGGCAAACAAATGCTCGGAAAACATGTCTATTTCTTCTTCTTTTTTTGAGATGCCGGCGTGGGCACCGAAACAGGTTGCACTTTGCAGTTTCAACTACATCGATGGATGTATGTGTGCAAGATTAACCCTTACGTGGCCAACGTAAGCAGTATGGGCAAAAAGTGGTAAAGTCTGATGAAATACATATTTCTCAACGCGGGGCCATTTTCATAATGACGACTGATAAGCAAAAAGCACTCGAGCAAACACAATTTCAACCCCCATCGTCACAATACTAATATACATTAATTCATATGTATATATATATATATATATGTGTGTAAAATGGAAATATTTGTATTTGACCAGGCGCACGTTTTAACTATCAATTGATTTTTGTATTTGATATCGATTAAGGAAAGGACGCCTCAAACTCAACCTTTGAGCAGATGTTGAAATACACACGAGTTTAAGCATTTTAAAAGAGCATTTGGAATTGACATGCTAATTAAATAGTAGATGTACTATATTTATTATAAGTATATATAAACAATTGATGTTGCCAACTAAAGAGACGACACTAAAGTCAATTAGTTTCTTTTTTTTTTTTTGGCGGCATCAGCGCTAAAAAAAACAATTGTCTAAATAAACGGAATTGAAAATTTCGCCAGTTGCCTTTTTTCGTTTGCAGCGACAATATTTAATCAATCTAAAAGATACTTAAGCAAACCAACAACAACCGAACCAAGGCAAGTTGCATGCGAATATCTTATCATATAGTGCCATAGCTTGTCTACAGATTTCCATTACACGATGGCCTTCAAAACGAAACAAACAAAAAAAAAAATCGCTTCAATTTCAAAAATCGTAACTTAGCATGACTAGACAGTTTTTTATTTGTTTTAGTCTTTGCTTTGTTTAGCTACAAATGGATTTAAATAATTTACGCATTATACACATTGAACGAGACTTGAATATATATAAGTTATATGTATTCCGCTAAAACAAGTTTTCATGTGAAAAATGAGGAAAATGATTATGTGAAGTTAAAAGCACACTCATCATTATAAACTGTATTATCTGAAAAGCGATAAGATTTATGTATTTCGTTCTATTGCAAAGAATTTCATTCGACTAAAATTGCTACTATTGCATAATGATATTCAGATAGTTATTCTGTTATCTAAACTATGTTTGTTATCAAAATTATTTGTTATTATTTAATAATTATACTCATTTTATTATTATTTTATCTGCACCCAATCGCATTCTTTCTTCAAATATCAGATAATTTAAAGTTATTATCAGTTATTTAAAACAATGTGATGAATTTAATTCTGAAAAAATAACAACTTTTATTATACATTATATTATATATATTTTTTGTTCAATACGTTTTTTGTCTAACAAATTTATGATGAGTATTAAAAATACATAGCCAAATATAACAATTTTGTTTGTAGCACACTAGAAAAGTTAGCAAAGCTTATTGATTTGTGGCAGCCCTGGGTCCGCAATATATCGATAACCAAATGTAGTGCAGCCCTCGCTGCCTGCTGCCAATGAGCAGAAACCGTAACAGAAACAGCAACAACAAAAATACATTACCTGCCAAATGGCAGATAAGAACACACAAATAATAATCGAGCAGCGAGTTGCATACGTTGATGAACGTAACATAAAAAGAAAGAAAACAGGCAGAGTAGTGCAAACAACTGACGCGGCAGCCAAAATGTGTTTCAACGAAAATGCTGCTTATTTATAGACAGCAAACGAGCCGCAATGAGATACGAATACAAACTGGTAGAACGTTGCGCTCCTCATTAGCAAATAATTAACAAAAAAAAAAAGAAAACCAAAAACAGAATCACTTGAAAATTGTACAAATAAAAAACTATTTTACTAATTGTGTTATTATTTCTCTTTTGTTATTATTATTGTTTTCTTTATTATGCAGCTGGCTAGCGATGATAAATTGCCGCAGGCAAATCGCCGCAAGAACAGCGGCAACGGAAACGGAAATGGACGTGGCGGTGTGACCAGCGGCCTAAAGCTCTCATTTCTCTGTCTAATTGTATCTGTCCTTTTGCTGCTGTTCGTCTTTGGTGTGTATCATTTGTATTTTGCGCAAGCAGACCCCTTTCCAGCCACTGTGACTAACATATTAACTAAAACCTCTGATTCTCCCACTGTCTCCATGCGTTATCATCAATCGACCCACACGGATCACACACCGCGAACCACAATGAAACCACCAACGACGCCAATGAAACACGAAAAACATAATGAACCCAATGCTGCAGGCTTCATCTCGGACAATGCGAGTCCGTATTTGGCGCGTCTGGCCTCCAAGCTGGGCTACAGCAAGGTGCAGTATGCGGCGATCATCGATGCTGGCTCCACAGGATCTCGGGTGCTGGCGTACAAATTCAATCGCAGCTTCATCGACAACAATCTGGTGCTGTACGAGGAGCTGTTCAAGGAGCGCAAACCGGGTCTAAGCTCGTTCGCCGATAATCCTGCAGATGGTGCACACTCCATCAAACTGCTGCTGGACGAGGCACGCGCCTTCATACCAAAGGAGCATTGGTCGTCCACGCCGCTGGTGCTGAAGGCCACCGCCGGATTGCGTCTGCTGCCGCAGAGCAAGGCGGAGAATCTGTTGAATGCTGTGCGCGATTTGTTTGCCAAGTCGGAGTTTAGTGTGGACATCGACGCGGTCGAGATTATGGATGGCACCGATGAGGGCATCTTCAGTTGGTTCACGGTTAACTTCTTGCTCGGCCGCCTGTCCAAGACGAATCAAGCAGCTGCCTTGGATTTGGGTGGCGGCAGCACACAGGTGACCTTCTCGCCAACGGATCCGGAACAGGTGCCCGTTTATGACAAGTATATGCACGAGGTGGTCACCTCCAGCAAGAAGATCAATGTGTTCACACACAGCTATCTGGGTTTGGGTCTGATGGCCGCTCGCCATGCCGTCTTCACCAAGGGCTACAGTGACGAGGATACGATTGTCGAGAGCGTCTGTGTCAATCCCATTATTGCCAATCGCACGTGGACCTATGGCAATGTCAAGTATCAGGTTAGCGGCAAGGAGAACATCAAATCCAGTGCCGAGCAGCCTGTCGTCGATTTTGATACCTGCCTGGAGCTGGTCAAGAGCAAAGTGATGCCATTGGTGAAGCCAAAACCATTTACCCTCAAGCAGCACGCAGTTGCTGCATTTAGCTATTACTTTGAGCGCGCCATCGAATCGGGCTTGGTGGATCCCACAACGGGCGGCGAAACAACCGTGGAGGCTTATCGCAAAAAGGCCCAGGAAATCTGTGCCATACCCAATGATGAGCAGCCATTCATGTGCTTTGATTTGACGTTCATATCGGTGCTGCTGCGCGAAGGATTTGGTCTCAACGACAGCAAGAAAGTCAAGGTAAGCATCCCGCTCTTAATTGAAATATATATATATATAAATTAATATGTTTTTGAATTTAATTTCAGCTTTACAAGAAGATCGATGGTCATGAAATCTCCTGGGCTTTGGGCTGTGCCTACAACGTGCTGACCAGCGATGAGAAATTCAATAATTCCTAGTACTCCCTCTATTAGTGTGTAGACGAATATATAGCTGAAATTGTTTCTAGAGTGCCTTAGACGTGCATCGAAGTATACTACACACACACACACACACACATTCACACACACACACCCATTCACTTTAATACAGATACACTTTAGATATAGTCTCGTTTCTGGCCAGTTTGATATGTTTATTGCGCTATAAATTCATTTCAATTGTCTTTAATTGAAAGCGAATTCATTTATTTTTTTGTCGTTTACTATTTCGAGGCCGCACTGTGACTACACTTATCTTTGTTTCTAGTTTGTAATTCCAATTTTATGTGATTCATTTTTTTTGTCTCTCATATTTGTAATTAATACGTTACGATATTTGTATCCGTAGTCTTACACTCCATACTTTCCTAGTGTATATATATATATATCTGCATACATATCTAATTTTTAAATTGTTTAATATTATTACATTAATTGAAAATGGTTAATCATCCATAATTATTAGTTTATTTTTGCAATAAAATACAAAATGTTTATTTGGATATGATCACGGTTTTAAATTGTGAATCTGGCAACTATTTGTGACAAGCTTTAATGTTTTAATGTCTGCACAGTTTATGGCTTTCTGAAAGTTACGAGATGTGTGCTCCATTTTGATTGTTTCCAAGAGACAACTTTTTCACAAATTAGACTACTGCATGTATTTAATACTCTCCTAGTTGTAGATTCGATTTGTAAGGGGATTTCATGCTGGGTACCGATCGGTTCAAATATCTTAGATATGGGCATGCAATAATTAAATAGTGTCTTTATTTACTTCTGCTCAATATTACAAATACAAATTACAAATTGTACACGGCTTGCTTATCAAATATTAGAATGGGCTTTAAATCATATACAACATATTTAGCCATATATATCTCTATATATATATGTGTGTGGGTGTGTGTGTTTGTCTATTTAAAAATAAAGCTAACTAAAAAATGCATAACAAACAGGCATATTGTGAGTAGATACAAAAAGGTAATAACTTGGATACAGTTTCTGAGGAGGCGTTTTCTAGTGGAGATACAAATTAATCATAAAGCGAATCATTGGCTTTAGCTTTCTTTGTCTTAATATCGCGAATGCATTTTTATTGCGACAGAACCTGCGGCTTAATCTCCAGCCTATCAATAATATACTGCGGCATGCAGAGCGTGGGATTGATGGCCTTTAGGCCGGAATGTCCCAGCAGCGAGAGTCCACCAATGCCGAAGAGTGTGTGGAATATGTCGGGCATGTTGCCCGTACGATCGGAGAAGCCGCCAGTCTCCGTATCCTGGCAGGAGAGAATAAACTGCTGCAGCTTCTCGGAGCTAATCCAATGCAGACGGCCCATAATGGTCAGCGAGGACAGCACCCACCACGAGTAGCAAACATCGGGCAGCTTCTCTGGCCGCCCATTGAGTCCTCCCGATGGCAGCTGCCTCTCACAAAGCCACCAGCCCAGTTTATCCACGTCCAGCAAATGCAGACGCTGTGTCAGCGACAAGAAGCCCACGCAGCAATAAATAAGTCCTACAATCAGTAGACATATTGATTATGGATGTATTTTAGAGATTGCTTGCTGACTCACCCGCATGTGACTCAGCGCCTGGCTTGGAGCCAAATCCGCCATCCGTTTGATTGCAGCACGACATGACAAACTTGACCGCCTTCTCCACATCAATGCTCTGCTCCATGCGCTTAAGGAGCGTCAATGTTGCAACCGCACAAAAGCTAAATCTGGTGTCTACCTCACCCCACTTGTCGCCAAAGAAACTGCCGTCCGGCTGCTGCAGGCCAACCACAAAACGTACTACCGCATCGCAATCGATGGTGTCCAGAGCCTCATATGTGCACAGCACTTGCACCGCTGACAACGTGTACAGCAGATGCGGATCATGCCCCTCGCATGGGGCAAATCCACCGCTTATCGGGCACTGGCAACGCTTCACAAACTCAATGATCGAGTTACGATCTAAACGCTCCAGTTGCCCCATAATATCGAGTGCCGTCACGCCCCAGAAGATGCCCGACATGCGCAGGAATTCGGTCATGCAATACTCGTAGTCATCCTCCTGTTTGCCATGATTCTCAATATATTCGACATGCTTCCAAAACTGTAATTTCGTTGTATCGCTGTGTGGCTCGGTGGTGACGCCGCCGTTTGAAGGCTTCACGAAGGTCGTGAAATCCATCGCTGATTGTGCTCAATTGAATGTTGAATGTTTTCGACCAATTAATTGTTCAACTGCTGTGTTGCCATTATTAATGCCTTGCAACAATTTAGATGTCGCTGGTTTTACTCATTTCCATAAACGCACCAAAAAATCCCGAAAAATTGCAATCAAAAATAAATACTATTCTCGCAGCTGATTTGTTACACCTTTGAAAATAATTTCAAATTTCATAAAAACTTTTCCAATTGTAGAGCTTTTTTTATTTATTTGATCTATTCAATGAACACTTCGCACATTATTATAAATAGTGAAATTCTAAGTATTTGCAATAAAGTTGGCAACGCGTCGATTTGCCATTCACATGACTCCAAAAACAACTTACAGTGAGCGAGAAAAGTCTCAACTGTTGTCAGATTAATTTAATTTCCTTTGTGATTACATAAAATGATTTTTGCAGAGATAAACTTATAAATATTACATTGTTTTTATTGTTTAAATACACAACATTTTACACACACTTTTTATATTTGTTGGGTTTTGATCCTAATTGGACTAATAAGAATACAAGGTTTTTGTTGTCTAACTTTTCTTACCTACTGTATGTACAAGCATGTTTCGAGCATTTTTATTTTTCCAATATATACGATATATCAATCAATCTTCATTTAATCAAAGAACCGTTGACGCCCGAGGTTCGTCAATATTTAGGGAGACAATATGCTTTTTGGCCACCATAACATTGCCTAGCAAGCGGGGCTCTTGGCCCTCGACCAAATATTCGGCGCACATGGAGAGCACAATGTTTGCATCCCGATCTGTGCAGTTGAAGAATCCAACCAGCACTCGGCCATCCGTTATGACGATACGCAGGACTCGACCCAGCCACTTTTGAAGCTTCCGCCGTCCTGGCGTCAAGTTTGCATCCAGCATTTGTGGTGCATTTGTTGTTATGCGAAAGGGCCACCTGCCCGGTGGCGAAGGAGGTGGCGGCGTGAGCGGCTGCACCTGGACTTGAGTACCACTGATGCTGAGATCCGACATGCTCATTTTATTTGATAATTTATTGTTATAACTAAGTTGATCAAGTGTTTTTGTTATGGTTGACTTCAATATATTCGATAACTATTTATCGCTAGAGATGCTGGCCCGCTTTCGATAGTTTTTTGACAGCGGCAAATTTCGCTTCATTTTTGCTAATAGCTCTTTTCCGTTCAATCACTTTAATTGACTAAACTGAAAAGAAATGGCTGGCAAAGCACTCAATATTGGTGATCAGTTTCCCAATTTCGAGGCTCAGACCAATTTGGGCAAGATCGATTTCTATGACTGGATGTCGGATAGTTGGGCCATACTCTTTTCTCACCCGGCTGATTTTACACCTGTTTGCACCACGGAACTTGCACGGGTGGCACAATTAATTCCCGAGTTTGTTAATCGTGGCATTAAACCAATTGCTTTGTCCTGCGACACGGCAGATTCGCACAACGCTTGGATTGAGGACATTAAAAGCTATGGCAGTAAGTTGTTGCCTGCAATGGGATTAAACCTGTTGCGTCTGAGCCCATTTTGATGGCTTACTTGCAGAACTGGCGAGCTTTGATTATCCCATCATTGCCGATGACAAGCGTGAGTTGGCCCTGAAGCTAAATATGCTGGACAAGGATGAGCTAAATGCGGCAGGCATACCGCTCACCTGTCGCGCCGTCTTCGTCATCGATGAGAAGAAAAAGCTGCGCTTATCCATATTATACCCAGCCACCACGGGACGCAATTTTGAGTGAGTTTAAAGCTTAAACCGAACCGTTTCTTGTGTTGTAACTGAATTGTTTTTCGTTGTTGCAGTGAAATTCTGCGCGTCATCGACTCGGTGCAGCTGACACAAACTAAGAGCGTGGCGACGCCAGCAGATTGGCAACAGGGCGGCAAGTGCATGGTGCTGCCCACTGTGCAAGCGACCGATGTGCCAAAGCTTTTCCCCAACGGCATCGAGACGATCCAGGTGCCATCCGGCAAAGGCTATTTGCGCATCACTCCACAGCCGACTGAAGACTAAAAAGAGCATTCCTTGGCAGCGAGCATTGTGATTTGAATCATATTATATGACTTTATTACAAAAATTATAATTAACAAACAAATCAAATTGTTTTTACAACCATTGCACCAGTCTCTCAACCAAAAGGCAACGCTTTGGACCAAGGCAAAAGCGCGCCCAGCCTGGGCAAAAAAAATGCACAGAAAACTTTCGGCTTACTAACTAAAAATATAAATGTGTTTTCGAGGGAGAGAGGGGGAATGTGTCACTAATAGCTTGTGTTACTAAAACATAAATATACATAAAACATATACATATTGCAACTGGATAAACCGACAAAACTAAATACAAGTCCAACTCTGTACAAAAAGTGTAGCGCATTTGTGGATGATTAAAGCAAGCCAGATAAAGCTAATGCCCATAACCGAGAGTATCTGAAAAGAGTTTGAAAAATATTTACAATTAATATGGCAATGGCAACTGTTTGGCATTTAAATATTAAATATTAATATGGAACTCAATTGATTTCGATCGGAAATTAAAGATAAACATCTGGAAACTAAAATTCTTATTTTTTCTCTCTCGAATTTATGCACTTTTATTATGAATGTACATATATTTAAAGCTTAATGTTTTAGCTGCCACAACTTGAAAACAATATAAACAAAACCAACAATTTAACTATGTTTAATATTAGCTTGAATTAGTGTGTTTAAAATTATGTTGAACTTTTTATACTAACTCTCGATTTACACACTTTGATTATGATTCTAAATATAGCTTGATTCCCTAGCTCTACCAAATGAATGTTTTAGCAAGCCTTGAGTTGAAAATTAAGAAGAATACTCACAATTTAACTATGATAGGAATAAAGCTAATCGAAAGGTTTCCGCCGTCAGCGGCGTCTGCTTTCCACCATTCGCGTCAGGCGACGTACGAGGAAAGGCCACAACACCAGCACAGCGAACCAAAGCGGCGAGATATCCTTGAATGGCCACCAGATCGGATTCCTGTGTTTGTCATGCAGCTTTTGCGCATTGCGCACCTCGAGCAGGGCTTGCTCCATGCTACGAACTCGTCGCTGCACAGCAGCCATATCGGAATTCATTGTGGCCACTGTGCTCTGGATTTGCCGCAGCATTTCCGTATTGTGTGTGATCGCTTGTGTGAGCTCCTGGGGCAGCATCGTGTCGTAGGGATCGTCGTATTCATCGTCGGAGGGCTCCACAATGGCCACGCTGCTGTTGTTTGTGTAATTGTTGTTGTTGTTGTTGTTGCTGCTGCTGGTGGAGTCGTTGTGCGTTGCGTAGCCGGTGCTCGTCGTAGACGTGTAGCCATTGGTCAGCGGTGTCTGATGGCCATTGATGAGCGAATCCGTATTTCTTTGAGGCTGATCTGCAACGCCCACGTTGGAGCTGCTGCCATGCTGCGGACTGTTTGTGCGCGAATGGAACGGTGAGTTCGGATGTGATTCGGCTAGCTCACGCATGCCGGGCGAGACCAGCTCCAGCTCGTCCAGATTTATGTTGGTCAACCCATCGAGGCTGCCCACAAAGTTTTGCACGTTCTCCGTGAAGGACATTGTCTCGATGATTTCCTGCAGACCCTCCACATAGCGTTGCATCGCCTGCTCCTTGCTCAGCTCACGATTCCGGTTCCATGCATCCCATTTGGCTCGTCCGACAACATCCCAAAACGGTGGCTTCTTCTGCGCACAGCCGCCCTCCGATGCCTGCTTGAAGAGCCCATAGAATTTCAACATCATGCTGGTGCTGGGCTGATAGGGTCCATTCTTGGGCAGTCCCTTGATCACGTTGACAGCCGCCTGGAAACGTTCCTCGATGCTCGCCATATTTACAATTGTGTATGTGTGAAATCTGAAATCGAATTGGAATTTTACTGGCCTTAAACAGCAGATTAGATATTGTATTGTATATATGTATGTGTGTGGGGCTAAGGTTAAGCGTTAATCGCGAATAGCTCGATCGCCTTCCCCTCCCTTTATCTCTTTCCCCTCTCATTCGCAGATGGATGTAAGCAACACCAACACACACACTCACACATACACATACACAAGTGAATGGCACTGATGCTGTCGCAAGCAGTTTACAAATTACCTAATTATCTTGTGCAAGTGCAGATACCCAAAAAAAATAATGACGCTGTAGGCTTTTGCGGGCAGTGTTGTTGCTGTTGTTTTTGTTGGCTTTTTTATTATTTTGTTATTGATTCACATCTAATGACTCTGGCCGATGCATGTGTATGGGTGTGTAACAAAGTTCGAGTTCTCAACAGCCGAAGTTCAATATAAATTGTTGTTGCTGCTGCTGTTGCTAATGCTTCTGCGGCTGCTGTTGTTGTGTACTAAACAATCACTTAGTGATAACGACAACTTATAGGCATTGGCGGCGATTGGTTTAAGCGAACACCGAAGCAGCAACCCAGTCAGTTTGCTGACTGCCTGCCACTTGTTTTTAATTCGTTTTGCAATAAATAACAAACATACTATGGAAATGAATAAATGTGAGAGAAAATATCGATTCAATGAAACTAGCGATATTTATTGCAATGCGCAATGTCGTATCGGTATCGACATATCGATACCAAATACAGGGTACTCCTGAAACGGTTTCAATCCACTTTCAACTTTGCAAGCTTATCTGAAAAGTTGATGAATGATCTTATTTGTCAAAATTCAGTCAATCAGAAGAACACGGAACTACAGATAGTTCTTTAATTAAACTGTACAGTGGAATATCGCATTTACATACTTTTGTATCTCTATATGTCATTTTATAAATGTAAAATCTGATTTCATTTAATAATTTTCATTTGATATATTTATAGTAATCGATGCCAATATAATAACGTAATATAATAAAGCAGATTAAAGTCATTGTGTTATCGTTGTTTAAACAAAATTAACAAATTTATTTGTTAACTTCTGTGCACTAAAACTGAAATTTAAAGCAGTCAGTGGATCGCGCCTACTTTCAAATCAAACATCTGGTAATGAGAACACATTCGAATCAACTCTGCTTTTCGATCCCCTATCAAATCAAAAATAATACATATTTACTTGAGAAGTTTTGTTGATGACTATTAAATACTATAAAATTCAAAAAAAGTAGGATTTAATTTCATCACTAGCAACAAAGTACATGCGTCGAGCTGTAGGTGGTGTAATTTTCAATTTCGATAAACTATTTGCGATAAACATTTTGCGGAACTTCTCAACACTGCGTTGAAAGTGTCATTATAATTTCGTCAAATCTAGCTACGTGAAAAGTGCTTAATATTTTGCATTATTATTTCAACAACACACATCAACAACACAGAGCTTTTGAAAAAGCTGTATGAATCATAGTAAAAGTCGTGCACGCATGCATTGTAAATTCCAGAGTCAATAACAAAGAAACAAACTATTTGAAACGCTACAGCAAACAGTTTCACAACTCGAACAAAATACACCCTCGGAAAGGCGGCGCTGTCGACGTCGATAACAGTCAGAGTATCAAGGCCAAGGAAGTCGCAACGAAATTCAATTACAATTAAACATGAAATTTGTGGCAACACAAGGCAACGACCAACATTTTTCTAATCAGAAGCAGCAACAGCTGGAGTGCATAAATAAAAAACGCGCGTGCAAACCAACAACGTTCAGTAGCGTATCAGTTCTCAACATTTCTAAACGCGTGTTGTGCAATAAAAGGGAACAGCAAGCGCAGCACCAGAGACAATATTGGAAACATAAAAGATTTGGCATAGCTGCGTCTTGATTAAAACTCTTCCAATTTCAAAAAGTACAAAGAGTACATAAACAAAAAACCAAAAGAAAAAAAACGTAAAACATCCCTTAGAAAAATTCTAACCTAAATTCCTGAACGCACAACGCATATATAAAATCAATAAAAGCAGAAAACACGTGCAAGAGCCGCCAATAGTTGCCGCCAAACGCGTCTGTGTAGACATCTTTGTGTAGAGTCTCTCTCGCATTCTCACTCACTCTCTTTCGGGTAAAAGGACACTGCCCTACAAGGCTTGTGTTTTTAGTGAGCGCGTGTGTAAAACAACAACGCCGATCATAGACACGATCAGTTCGAGCAACAGCAAACACAAAATTCGTGGACACAGCGATCAACGCAATAGCAACAACAACAGCATCAATATGCCGCGTCGCAATAAAAGAGCAGGAGCAGGAAAAGGTGAGTCAAACAAAGAAATAAAGTCAAAGATATTGAGTGGGTGTTTATGTGTAGTGTAGTGAAATGCATATTTTCTATAAATTCTGTTGACCTTTTGCACACTGCTGCTTACTTTATATGCCATCTGCATTAGTCATTCGCATCCAACAATGTTGAATATCATGAAATACATATAAATTTCGTTCGCTTTAAAAGCTTTCGCCTTCAACCTGTTTGGCAATCATCATCGAAATATATACTTTTTGTGTGTTGCTGTGCTGGCAAACGAAAAAAAAAGCTTGCACGCGCTCAGCTGCTGAAACAGATGGCCGCAACACGAAGAAGTGACTGATGAAATACCCTGCCTTTGATATAGGGAGGGAAAGAGTGGAAATTTGTATGTGAAAATGTTATGAATTTCATTTTCTATTTTTTTTTTTTAAATAAATGGTGTGCATATATAATTAAGCATACTTTTTTAGCATAGGATTGCTACTTAATTGTTTTTTTTTTGTTTGTACATTTTTCACAAAGTCTCTAATGCCCGATGCACTCGATAAGTTAAGGGTATTTACACGCGATTCGAGTGTCTGAACATTCAATGCCAGCTTATCAAGAAACACACCGTCAGAAGCTTATATATTTATGTGTGTATACATGTATGTGTAAATCATTACATATATACATCAAATCTAATGCCAACTAGTGACATAGTTGGCATTCATAAATAAATATATATTACTTCTATTGAAAAATACGCTTTTTGGGCGGAAACAGCTACACACAATGCTGTCATCAAATTCTTTTTTCTTTATTTAAGGTTTTATTACAAAACTTTTGTAGTACGGCAGATTCCAAATGTTTTTGAGACTCCTTAAGCTCAACTTACCAAACAACTTTCAAAATAGTTGATTATATTTTTTTCACAACAGCTGTTCAAAGTTGATTTGATTACAAAACAAGTTGTTGTTGCTGTTGTGAAAATGAAAACCTAATGCCGGAAATTACCTTGTCCCAAATCAGCAGAGGCGTGGGCTAAATGAAAATTGTTGTGTCTGTGTGTGTGTGTGTGTGTGTAGAAAGTTGAGCGAGTTTTTCTTTGGCAGCAGCAAACAAGAAAACTTGTTGCACAACATTTTCGTTTGAAGGTCGTCCAATTGCCCCAAATACACGACAAACGGGCACCCAATTCCTTTTGTTACATTTTATATACATATATATATAAATATATGCATTACGTACAAAGTATTTATTTAGGTGTGTGCACATAAAGTCTGCCAAGAAATACCCTGCTAGGCGGAAAGTTATCGTGCTGCCAATTTACTAAATACATATATACAAAGATACATTATTTTCTTTTTTTGCTTGTTGCTGGCCACAGCTGAGTCATTTCATTTGACATTTGCGAAATTTGAAATCATCTAACAGTGAGCAAAAACTGCTGCCTGAAAAGTTTAGACAGTTTGAGCAGCACTGTTGATGTACATTTCTGTTGTGCTCTGCACATTAACAGAACGAATGTTAAACGATTTTATACAGTTTAGAAAGCAATGGCACGATGTGATACAGATTGATATAAGTTTAGACCAAGTCAAAGAAATTGAAAGTAGTCTTAACAGTTTAGGCAGCACATTAGCCATGTTGAGCATCAATTGAAACGTTTGCCTTATTAGCTTCCACAGATCGCACCAGCGACACAAACTCTGAGGACGAGTCCTTTGACAATGTGAGCGTTTATTCGAACGTTTCGATGGTTCAAACCTCATCGGAGGGTGCTGAGGAGCTGATCAAGGAGCGGTCCATGGAGCAGTTCGAGGAGAAATTCGATAAGGCACTGGAACAGGCCACCGAGAAGTCGGCACAGACACGCCTCCAGGCACTGCAGTCCATCTGTGAGCTGCTGATGCATCGCTATATGCCCGATTACGTTGACGATCGCAAAATGACAGTGATGGACTTTGTGGAGAAGAGCGTTCGCCGCGGTAAGGGCCAGGAACAGTTGTGGGGTGCCCGCCTCGCACCGCTGCTGGTGCTGCAATTGGGCGGCGAGGAGAGAATGTCCAAGGACATGAGCCAGTTCCTGCTGACCACCTTGCTGGACAAGTCGGTTAATTACGATGCCCGTGCCAAATGCTGCACAGCCTTGGGCCTGCTCAACTTTGTGGACTGCGAGGATGTTGGCGAACTGGTGCGTCTGATGCAGATCTTCGAGACCATCTTTGCCGGCAGCTATCTGCGCGGCGACGACAAGACACCCATTTCCGTAACGGCCGAGGCAGGTGCCCTGCATTCCGAGGCTCTGTCCGCATGGGGTTTGCTCCTAACCCTCATTCCCTCGGGCGACTTTGTCTCCCTGATGACCACTGGAGAGCACAAGTTTCCGTAAGTAATCTATCGGCAAATAACACACAAAGATTGTCACTCACAACAAAATTTCCATTTCCATTTGCAGGTCGATTAAGAAGTTTTTGGGTCTCTTGCAATCACCGCATTTGGATGTTCGCATGGCCGCCGGTGAGACGATTGCACTGATTTTCGAATCGGGCCGTGCCCATGATGAGAACTTCATGGATGAGCACATCGCCGAGCTGTGCGTTGCTGTCAAACAGCTGGCCACCGATTCGCACAAATATCGCGCCAAACGCGATCGCAAGGCGCAGCGCGCCACATTCCGAGATGTTTTGCGCTATTTGGAGGTGAGTCAACTGTTCTCTCCTCTGTTCCCCGTCATTGAACAAGAGGCAACTTCTCAGTGATCAATTTGGTTTCCTCAAGGACTACAGTCGAAGGTTATAGCTATAGCTATAGACAGGCGGGGTCAGAACTCACTTTATTATATAGAAACTTAATAAGACAGTAAAATCCGATAGAATTTGGGTAATTGAAACCAATTCATTATTGAGATAACTTTTTGTTGACTATTTGGATAACTTTCAGTTAATAACAATTGTTTTTCATATCGATCAAGGACTCGAGCGACGATCTTTTCACATTCCTTACTATTTCCTAAACTGTTGTCCAAAAAATCAATTACGTTTTCAATTGCTCACTTGTAATTTATACGCGAGAAATGAAATGACACAATCAAATAATGAGTGAGACATGGAGCAGAAGATCATCTTATCCACATCTATCCATTCTTCACTGCTTCATGTCGGTGCAGTTGAAGCGAATCTCGTGCCGACAATGTTTGGCCAGACACTTGGAGTGATCGTGGAGCTTGTTGCGCATTATGATGCAGCCGTTGCGGCTGATCGAGTCCATGTATTCGGTAAAGTTGGGCACCTTACGGAATGTGCTGCCCGTTGTCTTCCAATGCGAATTGTTGCCCGAGTTCACGAATTGCGTCGAGTCGGAGAAGGTGGTCTTGAACGGTTTGTAGGCCGGTTCGCATTCATCTGCCTTCACCTCGTAGCCGGTGGTGTTTTCCCGTTCCACCTGCTTCATCACATCTTGGCGGAATTCGGCGCAGGGCGCCTTGTGCGTCATCAGTTTGTCCGATTTCAATTTGGATGCTTCATCCTTGTGCTTCATGCTCTCGTAGATGCCCTCCGGATACTCGTTCACGTCACTGTAGTCGATCTGATAGGTGGTATACATGCGATTCGTTTCTAGCCGGCGGCCCAGCTCCTCCTTGGGCATCAGCTTGAGCCGTTCATACAGATCCGGATAGATGTTGCGTAAGATTTTGAGAAAACGATTCGGCTGCAGTTTCAGGCAATCCGATTCGGGGGCAAATGCCATTTTCTCCACCTGATCCTGCGCCAGCTGTGTGGGTATGAGACGCGGATCCACTAAACGTCCCATCGGCGCAATGCCTGTCCATTCCACACCCGCACAATTCTGTATCGCATCCGGCGGCGGTTTAATCTTGTCCTCCTCAACGCATTGGCATTCGACAATTTTGGGGCCACCAAAGCCATCCTTTCCCTTCAGGTGGCTCATGAACTCGTAGCGCTTCGTGTTTGGCGGCACATAGTCATGTTGATATGTGGACTGTATCATTTTAAAGATCAACGAAACAAAGAAGATAAAAGTCTAGTTTTTTTTTTTTTTTTAATATTTTTAATTTAGAGAATTTCTACATTAAATTTTGTTTGTGCTGATAAAGTAAAGCTGATTAAATGCCAGACATGATGTGAATGAAATATGTTTCCAAGCTTACTAAATTGTAATTGTTGAATTTCAGGAGGATATCTCGCCAGAGATTAATATACGTTTCGGACAGGACGCGCTCACATTGGATGCCTGGTCCATACACCATCAGTATTCGTCTCTGTGCGCCATTATGGGTCCTGGCATTACCTCACAGCTGCAGGAGAACGAATTCATACGCGACATTTTCCAGCTGGGGCCGAAACCGACAAACACTGGCATCAATGGCCACGTTACAACCAAACAGTCCAAATTGGAGCGCGTAAGTTGAAATTATACACATATTTATAAGAGATTTATTCCAATATATAAAATATATTCTTTTCCATGTGCAGCATCTGATGAATGCCGCCGCTTTCAAGGCACGTTCCGTGGCACGTGGCAAGAATCGCGACAAGCGCTCGGCCGTCGTCACATAAACCTAGGCGCACTCATCATGAAAAGAATCCAGGACTCTTCTCCCCATTAGATGAATTGTTTTCACGTAGTTGATAAAATACCGGCTTAGCATACCAAAATCTGCATTAGTCGCTATAGATTAAGGCGCTTTCGGTCAAGTAACATTTGTCGTAACTAAATTCAAATAGTTATATAGCAACGAAAATAAATAATATTTAGCTTATGGCTTTTAGTTGATTTAACATACTCTTAACACACACATACACACACACTCACACACACACATTTAACATGTTAGCTAGTAATGTGATCTTCTAATTGAATTAATTGGCATCGAATGTGACATGCCAGTTGAAGGACTGTATGAATTTTAGTTCACTTATGATTATAATAATTTCCTTTTCTTTAAGTTTGCACTGTTGATCTTTTAAAATAAACACTCTAGTACATTGTGGATGAATAACTTAAGTTGCGATGTACCGCAGCATGTCAAAGGTCTGTCATAGTCTGTCTGACTTGGCTTATATAGTATGGATATTATGTAAGAATATTCTGTATACATAAACTATAAACATACATATATATTTTATAGGTATTGTGTGCATAATAAATGTATAACTATAGAATAAAACGACCACAAATATTAAGTGTTTTCTTTAAATTGAAATTCTAGACTAGTTCCACTGCACATTATATATATATATAAAGTCGATGTGCGGGTATTAACAATCCAGAATATATATTGTTCGTGGTACTAATTAATCAATACAATTGCGAGTTGCTGGAAACGGACCAATGGCTTTTTATCGTAAGTAAAGAATACCAAGGAATCACACACAAATCTCCTAAATTAAAGATACGCTTGACATAGTCCTCAGAATCCATCGTGTAATCCTGCAAAATAATAGATGAAGCGTGACATCAGCAGTTTTATGAAATTATCAATTCCCTAAGCTGATTTGCAAATTCAATGCTGACTTTTCGTTAAGTCTGACTTTGAGTTCTCATAGTTGAAATAATCTGCAAATTCTCAGTTGGTAGATGAAAAACACAGAATTCATTTGATATCATAATTGTTATAATTATATTTAACTGGTTTATCACAAAAATGTATATTAGCTTAAAGTGTAAATATGTTGTGTGTTCGGGATTTGTTGTTGATAATATGTTGAAATTATGCATAGCAAAATCGCTTTAGATAACACAATTCAAATGTGGGCGCGGCGTTTATATAAATAAATGTATATATCGTTTATAAATTAGGTTTTGTTAAGTATAGGCTTAAGGTATACTGCGAACTGTTTTCGCTTTGAATACAAATTAAAAAATACAAATATTTGTATGTATGTATGTATGCAAGTGTGTGATATTTGTGTGTGCCTAAAATTATATTCGCCAAAATAAACATAGCTGTGCTCAATACAAACGTACGAATTGCGTACGTTTTTCAATTTAAGAACTTATCGTGTATTCAAACTACAAACTACAAACATGCCCAGCTAGACTGACATTGACTGGTGCCATTGTTAACTACTTTCGTATTTCATTTGTTAAAAACTTCTCCAGCTACTTGGCAACGTGTTCTCATCATTATCATCATCATCATAATCTCAATACGTTTCTCGTTAATTGTGTTGTATTGTGTACTATACTGTATACTGTGTAATATAATTGATACTGGCTTATGCATGTAGGTTGTAAAATATAGATTATATAATATTTGGCTTCTTGGTTTTTTTCTTTCTTTCTTTTTGTTTTAATACACATCGCGCTTGGAATAATGCGTGCTAATTTGAGAGACAAAATTGACTCGTTTTGATTTTTCGAATCGTTTTCCTACTTGCTAAATGACTTAAAACCTATGTACACAGTTTGCTGGGAAGATATTGGGAGGGTTGAGCAAAAATTGTGTGCAAAACGCGCTCTCTAAACTAAATCGTACGTATCGTCTACATCGTCTGTTTGTGTATATGCTCATAATATGTATGTTTGTATGTGTGATGTTTCCTTATGGCATCAACTTAATATTGCTTGTGGACTTGTCGTACGTTTAGGAGGCGGAACGCGCTGCCGCTGCTGCGGAGGTGCTGGCACTGACATCCTCGCAAATGGTGTGCAGTTTCTCCATCTCCGAGCTGGTCACAATATTAATGGAGCTAACCTTGGCCCGCTGATAGGCGACCACAGTGTTCTCGCCCAGACACTTGACGCACACATAGCCAATGAGTACAGCAACGCCAACGGTCAGGACACGCACCAACGGATCCACATACATTTGTATAATAGCCCAGGTCATGGCACCAGTGACACACATCAGCGTGATCAGTATTACCGTCTTCATCCAATGCTGAATGGTAAAGCCCTTGTCCCACTCGAGTCTGTAAACGGAGATTATATATTAGAGATGGGAGTCTTCATTTATTCATTGATTTGGTTAACTCACTTTTTTGACTTCTCAATTTCGTAGGGATGTGAACAGACCTTGCAGGCCAGCTGGGCTTCGTTATTGCTGCCACAGCTCTCGACCAGCCAGCGTTTGAGGCACTCGTGATGCACCGAACTGACGTCGCCCGTGCATCGACAGGGTTGGATGAGTGGCTCTGGCTTATCGCTGTCATAGCATATCCAGCAATCCTTTTTGGTCAGGAAAGTTTGGCCCTCCTCGGGCGAGAGCTTATTGCTGTCCGCATTGAGTGTGGGTATAGATGGATCGATCTGACGCGACAGCAGCTTGCGTGGATTCAATATCCACAGCTGTTCGGGTGCCATACAGTTCCACAGGCAGCAGGGAAACCACAAGGCTACACCAATTTCGGCGATGCGAAAGATGATATCGTGCCAGTTGCGCGAATTGACGGGCACTCTTTACAAATACCAAATGGAAATGATATTGATTTATTAGTTGCATTAAATTCAATTTGAATTTCAATTGTGGACTTACTTGGTCTTCCAGAAATCACCGAGCGTTTCGGAGGTGAGGAAACCGACAATCACAATCAGCATTATGGCCTGGCTGAGCAGGCCAAGGCGCGACTGATGCAGCTGCGAGGCATTTACAATTGCCTCGCTGGGTCCTAGAATTTTGCCCGTCTGATCATAGACAAAGCCGCCGCGTAGCTTGAAGAACACCTCGACGCCATAAATGAGAAAGAAGATGACGACGATCAGTAGGAGCACAGCGTAGCAGCCGTTAAAGATGTGAGCGTAATCGCGACGCTCGGAGTTGATCAGTGAGCTGAAGACCTCGATGCCAAACAGGCTGTACAGGAAGAAGTTGAACGCCACAAAGCCCAGAAAGCTCTTCGACAGGAACTGCGACTTCTCCCAGCGAATGTCGCGCAAGTGAAAAATCTAAAAAAAAAAACAATATGCCAAAGAACACGAATCAAGTACAAGTTCAAATATAGGCAATATGCGCATTGCAAAGTGCGCACGTACGCGACTTTCAGTTGTTCCCACAAGTTTAATTAATGGTCGCGATAAATTGCGGTTGCGTTCAAAAACAATTGTAATTTTCAATGAAAGACTGACTCGGTGCACTTGCACCTAAACACTTGCGATTAGAGGTGACTGGAGTGATAGCGTTATAATAAGTACAATACATCTACCCCTATTGTTTTCTCTATAATTATTATTAGCGTTTGAGAACCTTTTATTGGCACAGACTTAAGTACTATATATACTCTCTGGTTCTCAGGAGACCAGCACAATTAAGATTTGGGATTAGATTGAGCTAGAGTGCGAGCACTCACATGATTCTGAGTTATACTCGCTTTTCTCGTGACTCTCGTTAAGTGAAGCCAGATAAGACTTAAACAGAGTTGAGCACAACCGCAAATAAATTTCACTCTTTTTTTTTCTTTTATTTTGTTATTTTTATGTTCTTATCAAAATTGTAGCTGGGATATGGCTTATCATCGGCGTGAATATTGACGGTAAGATTAAAGCGAATCGCTTCAATAATAAACTCTATTAAAATATGTTGTGCTGCTGTTCTAATTATTTGTTTAAGTTGCAACTAGCTTAGTCCATTTCGCGACATTCAAGATTCTGCTGCACAAAAACATTCGTTAGAAACAATTGTGTATTTCTTGAAAAATTTGATATTTTTGAATTCTACAGTATAAAAAAAATATATTTGTGATCGCTTGTAAAGTTTCTAAAATTAATCAAATTAAATTAATCTCTCGTTTTGGCGACCAATATGATATTATGGCTTTGAAAGCCAAAAGCATTGAGAAATTGCTGATATTTGGAACTTAAGAATACTGATGACTTCTGCAAATGCAGTTTAAATTGTTGTTGAATCGAAACAGTTCACAAATTTTCTACACAGTTTACAAATAATTTAGACAAGAACAAGTAGAAACTATTGAAGCAAGATTTTTGTCATTTTAAACAAAAAAGGAAAGGAAATTTGAAAACGCTTTCAATTTGCGCTTTGAGTAATTGAATTAAACTGATCGCATCATTCTCAACTCGACTGGCATTGATGACTCACCTCGGCCCACATGCAGACAATGAGGGAGGCGCAGGTCATAAGGAGTGGATAGTAGGCGGACATCAGTGTGACTGCCCATTGAGGCTGCAGCTGCAACAGATAAACAGAAGGGAATTAAATACATATATATATATATATAGATATAGTATTATACTTACTGGTGTTGTGAAGTAGGCGCCGCGAAGCGACGATGCCACAAATACCATAAAATAGAGCAATTTCTGTGTGGTGAGGCGACAGGCGCGCAAAATCGATGGCTGCTTGAGCCGCTGATACTCGGCCACAATGCAAATGAGCAGCTGAATGACCGAGACGAGGGCCACAAGATAGAAGACAGTGGATATGCCCGTGTAGTAGGGAAAATTAATGAAGTCGCACTCATCGCCCGCATATCGGATGTCGCAGACGCAAGTGTTATTGACACAATCGCCACGGCCGGAGCAGCTCAGATCGTTGGCGGGTGTGAAGGGGCCGTATTGGCCGACGGCTGGCGCCTTACTGTGGCCAGTGGTGGAGCTGCGCATCTTGACCGACTCCAGCGGCGATTGCAGCACACGCTTCGAGCAACGCATTAAGGTGTCCAAGCTGGGTAGCATTCTATATTAAATTAGCTGTAAGTCGAAACAAGAAACAAGAAGTTAGTTCTTTTTTCTCTGGCGGCCTGACACCTTAATTAATATAATATCAAGGTTGCAAATCGATAAACGCATAACTTGACACACAAACACAAACTAAATAACAAAACAAAACAACAGAACACAAAGCAACGCAAACAACAATGACAAACACCCTTTGTGTCATTTGAATAAACATTTGGGTCTCGTCTGGGGTCGCTAAAAACGAATGTAAATATCGCAGTGTGTCTTTGTGTGTGTGTTGGAGAAAAGATATAATCCGAACAAGCGACCGACGCCTTGGGGGCATTCACGCAAGGGGTATTCGATAAACTTATAATTAATGATGCCATGCTAATTCAAATGGAAAAGGATTGTTCAAATTATCTGCAAATGTATTCATGCATGCTTCGCGTGTTTGTTTCGCTAAATAATATTTACTTGATATGTGTTTATCAATTTTAAATTTAATTACTGAGAATATTTTCAAAAATTCGGCATTCAAAATTTATAAAATGGTACACAACAGTTTAAATGCAATACTTAATATTGAAAGTAGTAGAAAGTAGAAGTTGTCCAAACTTTACTTAACAATCAGTCAATTCCAATCAGTTTCATTTACATGTTTTACTTTGCTCCATAAAATATACGTTGAGTTAAACATTTTATTCTATACTCGAAGTTAAAACAGTGAATTGAAACGGTGACTTTTCAATTAGCTCGTCTCTCATAACATAACCCATATTAATACCGAGCACCCCTCATAATTGAATATTGTGACAAGTCTTTGGCTGGCGACGTTGACTACATAAGATCCATCAGCCGTCGGAAAAGAAGGGCCGGGAAAATGTCAAAAGGTTGGCAATGGTTTTGCATTATAATGCCTGTCTGTCGGCAAGTGACTTCTAAGTCAGGCAACCATCAATCAAAATGTGTACAAACAACAAATGGATTGGATCTATATATATATATATATAGAAAGATAGATAGATGGGTGATGGGTGCTGTGATGTGATGTGAGACAGAAACGAAAAGAGCGCATCGATAAAAATGCCTGCCAGCATTTGACACCCACAATAAAGACAATGGATGGAACTGAACTGAAATCGACAACTGGGCAAACACATAACAATCGACTGTCAAATCCATTGAGCTGGGCTGTTAGCCAATTGAAATGCATGAGTCGTGTCGGAAAACTAAGTTTGTCTGTTGTGGTCAGGCGCAAAAAGGCTAAGCAATCGTTTATAGCGCTGCACAGATGCTATTTAAATATTGATCAAATACTTTATATATTTTTATATTTATTGTTATGGCTCTGCAATTCGATGGAGCGCTCATTTCCTGTCCTCTTTTGCAATTTCTCGCTTGTTTACGTTCTTTTCCTTGGCACCGATAACAAATTTCTGGGAAGTGAAGGTATATAGGTTTATATATATATATATATATATATATATATATATTGACAAGTGCCAAATACCGAAGGGGCGAATACGTTTTTTTCTTGGTTGGAAATGGTTTCTGTTTCAAATTCGAATAATAAATTATCTTTTTATTTGTATATTACCCATTTTTATTTAGGATATATCATTCCAAGCTTAGCAGAAGAATCGCATTATTTTCACAAGCATAAATGCCAACCAAAAAAAATTAAACAATTTTCTTATAGTTTTTCCAACAACATTCTGCATTATGCCATTAATCAATTGTGAATGTGAATGTTTATGCTATATACACAATAAACAATACATAGTTCTAGAAATAATTATTATTTGTTTGCCTTTGCTTTGTGCTTTTGCTTTCTAGGCGACTAACTTTAGTAGCTGACTAGCGATAAGATAAAACGTAGTCAAAGACAAAGCACAGCAACACAGTTCACAATTCATATACATTTTGCAGAAATTGCCTATATTAAATAAGGTTAAAATTAAGGTCGGGCTTAACTAAGGGCGGCAGCAGCTGAATGCTGCTTATTAGACCGGAAATATGTTTGTATGTTTTGCTCGCAAAGTCGACCCCCATGCGCGACAAAAGGGCAAATGTGATAATGAGACACGCTTGCAAAGCTAGCTAAATGTTGAGAGGGTTTGGCAGACAGAAAGACAGAGATATATATATATATATATATAGAGAGAGAGAGAAAGAGAGAGTAGTACCCACCGTATTTCATTATTTTGGCTGTTGTCAATTATTGCTTAGCTTTCGTCATATACAGAACCAAAAAAAAAAAAACGGCAGCAGCGTCCCTCACATTTTAACTAGTCTGCCTGTCCGTTATAAATGAAGCAGCGTTTTCACTTTACAAGAATTCCGAAAACGAAAATAGCACACACAAACACACACACTGCAGCTGCTGGTACGAGTAAATATATATATTTATATGTATATCTGTGTGCCTGTTATTCTTAATATGTATTTTTTTATTGTATAGATACTCGCAGTGTTTGTTTGTTTGTTGTGCACAAGTCACACTACTTTTGTGAACGCGTGCCAACGCACTCTTTCGATCATACCGCGACGCCGACGCTGACAATACTAAATGAGAGAACCAGTTGCGATCCCGACTGTTAACTAAAATGTCTCTCTCTCTCTCTCACACACACAGCTTTTGTGTCTCTGCCTGTTATGCGTAACGCGGCGAGCGCTCTGTTAACTATTCACAGTATGTGCGCTAGAGATGAGCAAGTGAATTTCAGCAAAGTAATTTCTAATAGAAATTATTTATATGCATCACATTTAATGTTTATTTCATATAAACAATAAAACTAATTGTAATCGGATTCTTATCACGAGACATGCTCATCTCTAGTGGACACTGTTGACTGTTCAAACTTTAACAGCGATCGTGCTGAGTTTGGCACCAAGCAGTGCACACAGGAGAGCACACTGCGTATACGTCACGCCCGACTGACGCCAATTGGCAAGCAGTGCAAACGAGTACGATGAGTAAGAATTCCTATGGAAGTACAAATAGTTCAAAAACTAATCAATTAAAGTTGTGCGCACAAACATGCGTAATATATTTACATCAGATATATATACATGTATGTAGACAGATACACATACATAAAAGTCACAGGCACACCGCGTCTGTTTAAATAACAAAGCTGAATGCTGAAATAAATTTGAAGTGCTGAAGATATGTATATATACATATATAGATAAATATGTCTGGCAATTTCGCATTGCTATTTGGCCAATTAGCAATAAGACTTCGTATGTCATCACAAACATAATAAATTATGCCAAACAATTGACAAAATTGTTTGTAATTATGATATACACACATAAATGAAAATTAGCTTTGAAATATGCGCATATATACTATGATATATGTACATATGTATATATACCAGCTTGATATATATATATACATAAATACAATATTATTCCAATTTAACTAAAAATTTCATTTTTATTGCTTGTCTTTATTATTCATTTTTGTTTTTAAAATGCAATAATATGAAAATGTTTATTACGCCATTAGTTTTTCTCATAACAAAATAAACAAGCTCTTTGGTCAAACTTATAAATCAATTCAATAATTGTTAAATTTCGAAGAAATTCGCTTTTGAAGAAACTTCAAAAGCTTTACAATAACAATGTGGATTTTAACGTTTACAAATGCAATTTTCTGTGCTTATTAATGATTGAAAGTGTGTATATTATATCTCTATATATCTCTCTATATGTAAGTATCTTAAGTGTGTATTTCAGCACTGGTCAAGTATTGAAAAATAAATAAAAAACAGCTCAGTGAAACGAGTTTTTGATGCCCAAAGCTAAGTTACAATAGACTGGTTTTTGGTCTATGTGGCGCTACACGTAGTCCGTCTGTTCATCGAACTAACCAGAGACAGAGACAGATAGACAGAGAGCGAGGGAGAGAGAGAGAGAAAACAGAGTGTGACGTTCAGGGTCCATAGTTGAACGAACGGTCGTGAGAGTTTTTCAATATTTACACAGACTGGTGGTGCAAAAACAGAAATATTAATCTTGTCACGATACGATACAGTTTCGCAACTTGAAGGTGCACGTTTTTTTATTCTGCACATTTGAAATTTATTTAGCAAACGCCAGTCCTGAGATTAGCACTACTCTAGAAAACCAAGGCGCATGAGATGAGTTAATGATTAATAATTCAATTTATTTTGGCTGAAAAGCAGTCACACTCAACTGATAATCGTAAATTGCTGCTGAAACTCATGTATTTTTTAGTATTTAAACTATTTACGGGGCGGATTCGAAAAGCGCCCACGAACAACACACAAGATACATGTTAAATGGGGCGAGAGCGTTACAAATGTGTAAATATTTAATCACAATTTGATCGGTGGGGGTTTCATCTATTCTTAGATAGTACACAATTAGAATTTGTACGGTGGCGATTGATTCTTATAATAGTGCTTACCAATTAATTAAATCCTTATTTATGTTCACAAAGAAATCGACAAGTTCGTTCTTTACGAATATTAAGGCTCAAAACTTTACCAACTATAATTTATCACATTAATATTTACAATATTTGAAACAATCAAATTGCGGCGTGATTTTATATATTCCTCTATAACTATTAGATATCAGCAGATGACTGAAAAATAATAACAGAATATTTTTAAACCTTGATCAAGTATTACTTTTCTATGATTTTTCTATCAATTCTATGTCTTTGTGTCGTGACCCCCAATTTATGTGCTGTATTTGATCAACGAGAAACTGACGCGTAAAGCAACAAAAAATAAAATTGTAGCAGCACACTTAATTAATTGCTATTAGTGTTCATTAGAAGAGCAACTCAGGTGCAAGAAAACAATGTTTTTTACTGGCATGCCAAAGAGCCAAATAAATTACGAGTGAAATAAATTCCCAGATGGAAACAGATGGAGGCTGTGGTAAAGTTCACGAGCCGCTAAGTGATGATATTACCACATGCTGCCAACATAATTTTTGTGAAAATTATTTAAACAAATTGCAAGCGTTAATTCATTTACATTTTCCTAATATAAACTTATTATTCATTTAAAAAATGTTTTTTGGAGCAGTTAGTTAAATGGGTTCACAGAAAGAATGGTATACGTGTATTAAACGAAATGTTTACCATAGGTATACAAATATACACATATATGTAGTATATATGGCCACATATCTTATCGCAGGCCAAAGAAAAACTGACGCCGGGGGATTACGAGTCGAGTGCCGAACATTATAATCACAACCTTCAAATACTTAGACAAATATGGTGTTGATATTAGTAACACGTACATGAATCGGCTAAACGCATCGTTAAATAAGGACAGATAACTCATAACGCAGTCAGCGGCTTAATCACAGTGGGGGTTAATACTCTTATCAACATGTTGTTTAGGTGACGCATAAAATGACTTTCTAATTAATAGTTGCCGATTAGATTAGAAGTCAATGAAGTAACAGCCACGAATTACATATTACAATCAACCGAGACTAAGTTTCTAGTGTGCACTGTTTTATTTCAGGGTCCAAGGTCATATAATATTTATTATGTTTTTGTGAAACAACATAAGTTATTTACTTAATCATAATGCTCCAAACTATTTCCTTTTAACAAACCCGCAAAAGGCAATAAATATAGTCCCCACAGGTAAATACTATTATTTATATAACTTTTATATTCTACTTTTATGAAGTTTGCTGATTGCGCAGTGCGATATACATATAATAATAGACTCAAACGCAAGCGTATATTGTTTTCGACGGAGTAAGCTCGTCACATGCAAAAACTGTCTACAAACTCAAGCATTAATATTAATTAAATGACTTTATTTTAAGTACTCACACAACTCGTGTCGATTCATGGAGAGTGCTGATTTTCATGGATGGAAAAACACTACGCAACTAATTTTCTAAACTGCGTTAACTTGGCTGTAAGCTGCAAGAGGAGAACCATTTTAGCTACAAATATTTGTCCATCTAAATCACAGGCAAAAACCCAACCAAATCCACTGCAAGGTGTTAAGATTATCTTCCTCACATTCGCACTTAACTGAGGGCATCGCATTTTAGTTACCCATTAACTGAACACTTGAATGAATAACTAAACATTTCGCACACTCAAATAATTATTCTTGACTATTGAAAAGACGAGAACTGAATGCATTAAATGCATTCCTTATTTGTATAGTAAGTGTATTGTTAGCGATCACAAATGAATACAACAGATCATTTCATTTTAAGTATTCTCAAGCTTGAATTGAGCTTGCAGCTACTATTTGTTTTTTGAGTTATTCCAAACTAACAATTTGCCTAAGATATATGCGGATAAGGAAGACAAATGTGGCACGAATAATCAAATCTGCATTTGTTTGTTTTGTTTTTGTCCAATGGAATAAACGTACTCAGCGCAGATACAACCTCTGCCAAGGTTTGTGGAATTTCATTACTATAGCAAATGTATCTCAAATGAGTACACAGTATGGCACCTAGGTATATATATATATATATATGTATATATGCGAAAGTGTTGGCCCACCTACGCAGCGTGTTCCCCCACTACTCCCGTACTCCATCCAAGAACATCGTGCGCATCATGCCTCAGCACGCATTCGACGTGAGGCAAGTAATTTTATACGACAGAAGGCAGCCAAGTGAGTGAGTTCCATTTACATATTCAGCCCGCCCTCGAACCCTCTCGCTTCCCACCAGCTGCTAGGCATACGTTTGCCCTGAGCGCGTGTCTCGTCGGCGACATGTGAAAGAAAGACAGAAAGAAAGCGCATTTGCGATAGCGAGAATGGGGACAACGAGACGGAGAGAGAGAGAAAGGGGCGACGCTATGAGTGCGAGGTTCGTGTAATAAATGCAAATTAATTGCGCGAGTATTTTTATTTTTATTTTTGCATTATTGTTGCTGTCGTATTTATTGCCACGGCAGCAGCAGCAGCAACATTTTTCGCCTCTGCTCACTGACCTGCCCTCAAATTGTAAATTGCGAGCGTTGCAGCAAAATCATAAGCGCAAAAAACAAATCAAGCTTCGCAAATATAACATACACACATACACATCCATATACAACATACATATTTATATATATTATAGATGTATTTTTTGCTTTATTGTGTGCAGTCAATTAAAATGATTCAATCACTTTTAAGTGAAATGCCTCTGAGGGATGACGGCGACTGGCTGGCAGCATTGCGTGTGACGCGAGATTGGAAAGTGAAAATGGTCTTTGAACTGTTGCCAGCAAATACTTAGATTACAGTTAAGCGTCACTATAAGTGCAAATAGCTTCATTTAATTCCATACATATTTACTTCAATTCTTTATCTCTGACGTGAGGTGCTGGCTTTTGTAAGCTTAACAAAATATTCTATAAATACTATATATGTATTATTATTATTATTATATATTTTTCGACTAGGTTTTATTTAGAAATGAGCATTTCATTTTGTGACATTTGTGCAGAAATATACTATGTTTTAAAGTCTAAAAACAAACTTGTTAATGTTTTTCAAAATATATTTTCTTTGCATTTAATATGGCTGCTTTTTCAATTATGATCATATTTCTAAGTAATAAAAACGGGCGTGTTTCAATCGTATTAAACTTTGCAGTAAATAAAGCTTCACAATAGACACAAACACACACATTTTTATATATAATGTAACCTTGTTTTTTTTATCATTGGCTCGGTGCACGCGCACCTAGAAAGAACAGTTCTTCGGTGCATGTAAACACAAAATATTGGCTCAGACAGCGAAACATAAAAGTTAGAAAGAGTTGCGCAATTTCAGTAAGAGCGAGTGACAGAGAGGGGGAGAGCAAAGGTGTAATTACTAAATATCAAATCAGAAATGACAACAGTAAAAGCTTCAGAGGAGCGACGCAAAAAAAAAGCTAATTTGGAAGTGAATGAACGCATTGCACACAAACACACAAACATTAACCCGCAAATGGGGCCTGCTTGGCATGAAAAGTGACATAATAAAATGTATATTATATTGTGCGCTCGAATTAAGCTGCATTAAAAAGCTATTTGCACTAATTCAACAATTCGCTAATGCCACTTATTATCACTTATAATTAACTGCCAAAAAGATAACAACACACAAGGGTTAACATATATGGCTGCTTGGATAAATTGCTCGCAAATCAGTCTGTGGCTGGGTACATTTTGAGTGCAGCCGTACCGAAAACCACTCATTGAGTGCAAACATTGCAGACAAACTGCAGGCATTCGCCCATTGTCTGTGAGTTTTTCCAAGTGAATGACTAATACTTGTTTCGCACAGGTAATAAATGTACACCTGCAGCGCCTGATTGAGTCAGCGACTCAATTGCTTGATAAGCTTTATTATTATTATTCCTAAGTTTATTTACGAAATTTGTTATTGTCAACTCACGTGGTGAATGCTCCAAACAAAAAATTCTTACAAATTTTGCAGCAGTAACAAAAGTGCACACACACACACAGACTGAGACACACACACACGCGCGCTTACATATATGTATATGAATATTTACCAGCAGCGTCGCAGATTGCTGCTCTTGTAATACTATTATTTCTTTGTTTTGCAAATTGGGTTCTGTGCAATGTGGCTGTGTGCTAGTTTCGATATTGCATTTTCCACATATTTCTTATTTATTTTTGTTTAAACTTTCATGCGTATGTCGTCGCTTGTATTATTTGTGTCGCAGCCAACTTTACAGTGATGCGCTGTTAACCTCCCTCTCCAAACTGCTGATAGTTCACAATGGGGCTAACAGAGAGCTAACCGTGACACCGTGTGCTCAAAAGACACTGTTAATGTGCTAAAATCGATAGCTGCAATCGATTTCGATAATTGCACAACATTTGAAAACAGTCAGTTTATTTGATATTGATTTGTTTATTTTTATTTATGCTTTCATTTCACTTAATAACCGTCGAGTGACTACAACTGTGCTTCTCGAGATATTGGCGCCGTGTGAAACACTTAAAGCAATGATGGCACTTGAAGGGCCGCTCGCCCGAATGAATGCGAACGTGATTCACCAGATGGCTGCTCTGTGTGAATGCCATCGGACAATGGAGACACTGGAACGGTCGAATTCCCGAATGAACGCGCTTGTGCCTTTCCAGGTTCACGCTCTGCGTGAATGTCTTTGGGCAGTGCGAGCATTTGTACGGACGATCGCCGGAATGAACCCGCTTATGTCTTTCCAGATTTCCACGACTAACGAATCGCTTTGGACAGTGCGAGCACTGGAATGCACCCTCGCTGGAATGAGTGCGGCTCGACTCAAATGAACATTCATTGGAATGAGCGGGCATCTGTTGCCGCACTTCCACTGGATGAACGCGCATGTGATTGGCCAGATGATTGCTCTGGGTGAATGCCTTCCGGCAATGCACGCACTGGAAAGGCCGTTCGCCGGAATGAACACGCATGTGCTTGATGAGATTGGAGCTCTGATTGAAGGCCTTCGGGCAGTGCTGGCATTTGTAGGGCCGTTCGCCCGAATGGATGAGTATGTGTCGCTTGAGACTGCCACGATTGGCCAAAGCCTTGGCACAGTGCGGACATTTCTCTGCATTGGAATTTCGATTGATTTGAATTTCGTGCAAACTGCTCTCCTCTGCCTCTTGCTCATCCCTCTCCTGGCGCTCGATCTTGATGCGTTCTGTCAAGCCGCTGTTAGGTCTTTGGTTCGCCGCTTCCAGCGCCTGTTCCACTTTGACACCACATTCTGTTAACAGACGGCAAAAGTGCTGGTGGCTCTGCTCGCATCGCCGCTTGAAGCGAAATGCATTTTGGGCGGCGAGAATGCAGGAGAGGCAAATCTGTTGGGGAAGCGGATCATCGCGGCGAATGTGGCAATTGGCGCATTCGTTCAGCATGTCGGCCAAGCAGGGCTCTTCCTCTGATGGGCTCCGTTGGCTGAAGATGTCCACGAGGGTGACGCTGCTGCTGGTGCAAATGCGGCACACTTCTTCCATCTTCCCGAACTCTGTTTTTGTTTATGTTTTCTTGTTCTACATTTGTTTGTGGGTCGCAGTTGGATTGCGTCCAAATACAGAAATACCAATTGGAAAAATACTAGTTTCAGGTAAAATACTAAGCAGGAATCCCTGTCGATAACAATTTTATCCGATTTTTTTTTAGCATTCGTATTTGTGATATATATACACAAAGCTTTGCTTTGTGTTAATATCTATATTTTTTTAGTGGTTTAATAGACACATGTGACCATTTGGTGTGTTCAAGTGAAAAAATAATCTAGTGCAGCCAGCTTTTGTCATGCTCCCCCTCTCGATTACACTGAGCGAATGAATTTCATGAAATCGAATAGTTCGGCGAATTGAGCTTAACAGTGCAACATGTTCCTAAGCAACAGAATTGCTCTCATGCGCTCTCTTCTTTGCCTTTTTTTTTGGCTATTTCTTGTTGGAGTGTTGGGAGCAGCGTTTGATAACATCGCGAGTTGCCGTTAACAGCTGTTAGAAGAGACTGTTATTGTATATCTTGCTGTTGACGCGTGTAGTCGGGTTTTTTCGGCGGTAAATGCGGGTATTTTAAATCTAAGCAACAAATCCAAAGTGCAAAAATCGGCAAAAAAAAAATCATTAAAAAAATTGTAAAAATTTTTAAATGTGTTGAAAATCGCTTACAAAAGAAAAACAACATAGAAATAGTTGAAAAAGGTAAATGGCCAACAAAATGTAACGCAATCTTTAAGTGTGTGTGTAGCAAAATCGATTATTCAATCTGTGTGCGTGTGTACGTGTATATGTGTATGTGTGTGTTGGTTAAAACGCTTTTTATGCATGGGCCATAAAACTCTATGCGGAAAATCAAACACAATATGCCAAACGAAAACTAATTTGAAATTAAAACAACATAAAATAAAGCAAGCTGAAAAAAAACAGACTGCAAAATGTAGAGAAGTGTATACCAAAAGCAGAGCGTAAAAAAGTCCAACCAGAAATGCACACAGACACAGCGATACATACACACACACACACGCATACGCGCGTATACAAAGTAAATGAGCGCAAAAGCAATTGCGAGAAGAGAAAAAAAACACAAGTGCAAAAGTAAATGAGACAAAAGCAAAACACACTGTGAATGTGAATGCAAAGCAAAAGGCAAAACGCACAGCGCAAGATTTAATAATTAATTTAATGCTTTTTAGCTTTAGTCAAATGTTCTCGTCACTGAGCTGGCAGCTGATGCAGCTGCGAATGATGTGTGCGAGTGCGAGCGAGCACGCAACATATGACGGCCATCAGCTGTTTTGACACTTGACACGATCGACGACAGTTTTTTAATGTTTTTTCTTTCGTTTTCTTTTGCTTTTTTTCCTGCTGTTTTTCCTAAACGAGTTGCGCTTTGATTTTTGCGTTGTGTTAATTAATGCAAATTGATTTATTTATTGGGTTAAATTGTTTTTCATGCATGGCTTCGTTTCAATTGACGCAAAAGCAAATCCAAAAGAGCAAAGACAAAAGTAATGACAAAATTGTGGTACACTTGAAAAAACAAAAACAGAACAAAGCAAAGTAAACTTTAAAAAAAAGCAATAAGAAAATATGACAAATTGTCTGGCAATGCTACACTCATTTTTTAATTATTGTGCACGCACTAAAAAAAAGAAAGAGATGGAAAATTCAAATTTTAGATGCTAATTTTTGTTATTTTCTTTTCTTCAACATTCTCTTTGCAGCTACACAGTAAAATAAAAATACAAATAATAATAATAATATTATATAGAAGCGGAAAAAATAATTAAAGTGTTAAACCAAATGTTAGCCTAAGCTTAAAGTGTTAAACTAGTTTAAGCCGCCAAGTGTTAAGCAAATAAAACCAAACAAAAAAAAAAAGAAAACCACACACATACACCTAAAAAAAATCTAATCTTAAACTGCAAACTACAACATAAAAAAACAACAACAACAACAAGAGCACAAGCTTCCACTAATACAACAATAGCAAACTGCAAAAAATAGAAATATAAAAAGCGCTAACTGCTAAAAATAAAACAAAGAAAAGGCCTAAAATCCAAGTGAATAGCTACGCTTCGCTGCTGAAAAAAAGGCGCAAAAAAGCGAAAAAAAAGCCGAAGCTAAAATTTTCTTTTTACCGTTGTTAATAAACTCGCCAAAATAGCTAAATCCATTTTACAATTTCTTAAAAAGAAAAAATCCCATCATAGTTCAGGAACGGCAAGCGGCAGCGGCAGTGGATCAGAGGGCAAGCTACAGCAGCAGCACAGCAACGAGGAGGAAGGCGGTGGTGCAGGGGGAGGACAGCAGGAAGCAGCCGCCGCTAGCCAAAAACACACGCCCTCAAACACGCTAACAGCAGCTGCAGCATCTGCTTCAGCATCAGCATCAGCAACTGGATCAGCAGCAGCAGCATCAGCATCAGGGGCAACAACAGGAGGAGGAGGTGGCAGTGGAGCAATAGCCGATACAAGAGCAACAAACAACGCTGAAGCTGCTGCCAGTGAGGAGCAGCAGCAGCCAAAAGCTAGCAGCAGCACCCACAGCCACAGCAGCTCTCCCCAAGCTCAAGTCTCCGCAAGCGCCACGTTCCGTTTGTCCTCGCTAACTGGAACGATCTCGAAGATGGGCAATAACGCGACCACATCCAACAAGAAGGTGGACGCCGCCGAAACGGTTAAGGAGTTTCTCGAACAGGCCAAGGAGGAATTTGAAGATAAATGGCGTCGCAATCCAACCAATACCGCTGCCCTCGATGATTTCGAGAGGATCAAAACGCTTGGCACCGGCTCCTTTGGCCGTGTGATGATCGTCCAGCACAAGCCGACAAAAGACTATTATGCCATGAAGATACTCGACAAGCAGAAGGTGGTCAAGTTGAAGCAGGTGGAGCATACGTTGAATGAGAAACGCATCCTGCAGGCCATACAATTCCCATTTCTTGTCTCGCTGCGCTATCACTTCAAGGACAACTCCAATCTCTATATGGTGCTGGAGTATGTGCCTGGTGGCGAGATGTTCTCCCATCTGCGCAAAGTGGGACGCTTCTCGGAGCCGCATTCGCGTTTCTATGCGGCCCAAATAGTGCTCGCTTTTGAGTATCTGCATTATCTGGATCTGATCTATCGCGATCTGAAGCCGGAGAATCTGTTGATTGACTCGCAGGGCTATCTGAAGGTGACCGATTTTGGATTTGCCAAGCGTGTCAAAGGACGCACCTGGACGCTATGCGGCACACCCGAATATTTGGCGCCCGAAATTATATTGTCCAAGGGCTATAACAAGGCCGTCGATTGGTGGGCGTTGGGTGTGCTGGTCTATGAGATGGCAGCCGGCTATCCGCCGTTCTTTGCCGACCAGCCCATACAGATCTATGAGAAGATCGTCTCCGGCAAGGTGCGTTTCCCCTCGCACTTTGGCTCCGATCTGAAGGATCTGCTGCGCAATCTGCTGCAGGTCGATCTGACCAAGCGCTATGGCAATCTGAAAGCGGGCGTCAATGATATTAAGAATCAAAAATGGTTCGCCTCCACGGACTGGATAGCGATCTTCCAAAAGAAAATCGAGGCGCCGTTCATACCACGGTGTAAAGGTCCCGGCGACACAAGCAATTTCGATGATTACGAGGAGGAGGCCCTGCGAATTTCCAGCACCGAGAAGTGCGCCAAGGAGTTTGCTGAATTCTAATTCGATGGATGCACAACCCCAACAGCAACAGCAACAACAACAACAAAAGCAGCAAAAAAGAAAGAAAGAAAAAAAAAGAAAACCAAAACACCCATTGCGCATCCCTCCCTGGTCACCTCGTATGTGTTACCATCGTCGTTGTTGTCGTCTCGTCTATATGTCTACTACTTACAACTACTACTACGCAACTACAACTAGTATGTGTACTACAACTAAAACCCAGCAACTAAAACTACAACTGAAACTATCGCGCATCCAACTTGCGTCTAGCGTCTATCGTCTAGCAGCTGGCCATTTTCTAATCATCCAAATAAACATCAATCACCAAGACACCAACTAAAACACACACCACACACCAAACACACACACACCCAAATACAAAACACACACAAATTGGATTTCTCATACCCAAACCGCAACAAATAACATTACAGTAAGTATCTAAAGTTTAATATGTTACCCCAAATATATATGATATTTTTGATATTTTTGCTTTTGTAGCTTTTAAAATTGGGGTGTGTCTAACAACTTTTGTAAAATATTATCAATCTTTGGCGATCATTTTTATTTATCGATAATCTTTCTACCTTTTAGATTGTAAATATGATAAGCAAAAAATATTTATGTTAACCATTTAAGATTGGTGACTCCCTCTAAAACTGGCCAACTTTTTAGCTATCGATAACCTTTGTACCTTTCAGCTTGTATATATTTATTGTGTTTTTGTTTGCTTCATTGGAATTTTACCTTGACAAGGAAAATATTCGCAATTTCGATTGATCAGCATTATAATTCCATTCATTAGGGAGTTAAGATTGATTGATGTTTGTTTGGATGTTGACTAAACAAAGCAACCCCTTAAACACAATACACCCAGTCAGTTCATCAACTGTGAGCAGTTCTGACTGTGCCTCAGACAGCTTTACCCCCTTGTCCTTGCCTCACCCACTCACTCTCTGTTCATTTGTTAACGCGTGCCGGTCATTCTTTTAATTAGTTTGACTCGTTGCAGCTGTGATGAGAGCCAGTGAATTTCTCGGTATTCATCGGACTCTCGGACTGTGATGTGTCTGGGGGGTGACGAGATACTTTAGCTGGCAGCCTGCTTGTGGCACATGTTGAACATATGTTCGTTGTATCCATCGCATTGAGTCCTAGTACGTGCTCGTGCTGTGGTCAATTATTTTGTAGACTGACTCAATCAGCAACAGTTGCTGGGAAACACCATTCGACATAATAACTGTCAGCGGGCCTTAACTGCAAATAACATGTAGTCCGAATGCATTAAAAAGAAAAGAAGGCGACTCGAGATAAGATATTGCTGATACATGGCTACGCTTAGACTATTTTAATAATATATATATAAAATCATACACATATATATATGTAATTTATATTAACTTACATATATAATATACGAGTTTTTAAATTCCAACTGACCTTTAAAGGAAAACTGAAATGTTGTTTATACTAAAAATACGATATACTTCCTAAAAAATTATTGGAATAACTTGTTGGTCACAGTTATCGATTATTATTATGGATCAACTATATTTTTATATTGTGTTATTTGAAATTGTTATTGTGTGACCAATATCGATTATTGTTAATATAGACAAAAATTACCTTCAACTACATTTTCATATTGTATTATTTTCCCAGAATTTCTTCAGTTGTACAAAAATTTCTTGTGTTCTTGTTTCCTTTTTCTTTTCCTTGTTTTCTTTATTACAACTTTGGGGTATTGCGTGCTCGGAATTTCCTCAGCTGGTTAAGTCGCAAACCAACCCCACTTCCCCACTTCCCCAACATCCTCACTTCCTTCGCTATCAACGCCCACATTTCGCATTGAACTTTGCGTTTAACCAAAATCAACATGTAGACCAAAAGGCAGTAAAAAAATAGATATTCACACTTGACCCATTTGGTTGCCTTGGTAGTAGCTGTGTGTTTGTATCGAGCGTAAATAATGTCAAGCCCAGCCAAACAGCAAACAAAATAAAGAATTTATATATATATTCATATACATATATATATATATAATATACATCAGCTTATGCGCTTTTGCTGTGCAGTTACAAATTGTTGTCGGTTGCTGGTTTTGCGTGCCTTTGGGCCATTAGCCAAATATGTATTACAGCCAAGAAGCTGCTCATAAATTGTAAGCAGCTACTGCGTCTAACAGGCCATATTAAAAATCTAAAAAACAAAACTAAAAAAAAAAAAAATCCAATGAAAATGTATAATTATAAAATGTACAAGTTGAGGCGTGGGCCGTCATTGGTCACCATGGCATAATTTTATGAAATATGTTTAGTTGTTTTTTTTTTTTTTTTTTGTTTACCTTCATAAAAAATATATTGTGAAATTTGCTGCATTCCGTATAGTTTGACCATGACCTTGTTTGACCTCTGGCAAAGCATTTTGGATGGTTTTTCAGATTTGTGTCAAAATATGTTGCGCTTCTTCGTTTTATTTATTCATTTATTCCTTGATGTGACACTTTACTTGCTCAATTTTATTGGCACTAATTAATGTTGCTTTCCATTTGGTTCGCCAATAATAAAAATAAAAGCAAAAACAAACAAAACAGTAAAGTAAATTCATCAATCATTTTGTTGTTGTTGTTGCTGTTGCTGTTGTTTTAGCCATGGCAATTATAATGATAGTTGGGACACTAGCACTTAAGTATTTACTTATTTACACAGCCCCAAACTGCTCAATGAATATTTGTGATCGTTTATCAGCGCTGGGCTTTGTGGGGGCAGTCAAGTTGTCATTGATATGACTAAGATACGACTAAGACACGGCTCTGGGGCTTAGTATGCCGATTACCTAAGTATTGCACTGCATTTTTTTTAGAATGTTTTCAGGCTTGCCCAGTTCAGTAAGTGCGAGATAGGAATTATAGCTGGCAACACTAATTACTGATATTAGTTTCTTAATGCTTTATATAGGGGCTATAAAAAAATTAAATAAAATAGTTGAAAAGTAGTTTTTGAAACGGAGAAGTAACCACAAGTTTTAGTCTGAAATGTATTATCATATTGATCACTTTACTATCAGCAGACGCTTTCGTCATTATCAGCCATATCTATTGATTAATTGATCAATTTCGAGTTGGTTAGACTTTAATAAACTGCTGTATTTTTGTTTAATACGAAGTTTGTCAATGTTGCAACTATTGTACTTTGTTGAAAGAGTTTGGACGACATTACTTGACTTGGGCGGAACTGTGTGATTGTTGGGAAATGAGGTCATCTATGATTCAACTGTCTATACAACGTTACACGTTGGACTCCTTGGATTGAGTTGCCCAAAGTTCAGATCGCTGCTGGATGCCACTGAACAGTAGATGGGGGCAAGGAAAAAACAGCAAACTAACTGTCGCCACAGAAACTCGTTTAGAACACACGCACGCAACAAATTCGTTGCTCATATTTGTGTCGCTCCAATAAACACCTAGAGCAAGTTTAGATGCAACGCCACAGTCAACGTGCCACATAAATCTCACGAAATAATGCAACTGCCAACGCGCAACTGAGACGCTGTCTAGCCAACTGTGGGCCGCCCGGCTGACAAGATAGAAATACGAAAAGAGACAGACAGACAGACTGAGAGATAGACAGACAGACAGATAGACAGACAGACAGACACGAGCTCGGACAGACTCTGAAACCGACCAGGCAGCCTTGTAACAGTGCCCTCAAATCAACTGGCAAACACGCACGCGCTGCAACAACCACAACAACCACAACAACAACCGCAACAGCAGCAATAACAACCACAAGAACAACAGCAGCAAGAAGCAGCTAGAGTAACGAGAGTCATGGCAAAAGACACTGTGCATAATTAATCGCAACAACAGCTTTCATAAAAATTATAAGCAATTATCAATTAGACATGATGAACTCTTGCAATTTGCATACAGCGGTAGCTGAGTTGTCTAATTGAACATGTCTTTGTCAAAGGTCTTTTTAGCAGCCAGTGCGACTTTAATACTAATATTAACTCATTCACTGGCATTCGTCAGGCAATCAATCTTCAAAAAACTTTGACATTTACAAAAATTGAAATTTATTCAGCAGCACCTTCAGTTTTTTGTTTCATATATCTTGTGTGCCTATTAATTATTAAATGTTATTATTATCGATTAATTATTTTGTGATAAAAATCACTTACATTTATTACAGTATTCGAGTTTTTGTTTTATTTGAATTGTTTGTTTTCTTATTTGGTGAGCTCTTTTTATATTTTAAGTGAGTTTTTTGCTGGCTCCAGCTTTTGTTTGTACCAAAATGGATTTTAGTACATGAAGAAACATGTGTTTAAATACTTGCTTAACAAAAATATGTATTATTAACTCAAATAGATTCAAATATTGATTAATGCTCGCAACAATCTTATCATTGTGTAAATATTATATTTAAAAATATATTTTATTTTAGCAGAAGTAGAAGTAACTCATTTTAATTAAACAAAATAATAATTTTGGTCTTGCTGCTCTTAACGGTTTTTACTGTTAGCCACAGAGAATTAAACAACAACAGCAAATTAAACATTTTGATGTTGCTAATTGCCAACTTTCTGAGACTTCACAATTGTTTCTCAGTTTGCTTGATGACACAGTTACTCATGTTGTTGCTGTTGTGTTTTTTGTTTTTTTTTGTTCAGGGTATTCACGTTCATAATGAATTCTTAACGCGCTGTGTAAACGCGTCGTATGCGCAATAAAGTGAGTGGAAAGCAAAACAAATGCTCGACTGTTTAGTGACTTTTCGAGTATTAAGCGTTTTCATACGCATCGAGAATAAATTAAATGACTTCATTGTGAGCAAAAAACAAAAAAAAAAGTATTTTGTTTGTTGCTTTTGCTTGCGTTTGTTTTATTATTGTGCAAAAATGATCTCGCGGCTATGGCAAACAACAAACGAGTTTTGTTAGGAGCGCCAGCGAATGCAGCCTACAAAACAAAAAAACAACAAAAAAACGTATTTCAATTGAGACAACAGCCGAAAACAAACAACACAAAACAACGGCAACGAAATCATCATTTAAATAACGCACACGTCGTCGTCGCCATGTTGCGCCCGTTTTAATTTTTTTTCGTTTCTGTGTGTGTGTGTGTGTTTTTTTCGCTTTAGCAATTATTTTTGTCTTTTTTCTCTTCTTTTTTTTGCTTTAAAATTGTAGCTGCTATTTACTGTGAATGTGTGTGTGTGTGTGTGTGAGTATATATCTGAGAGATAAAACGCGTACATTTTACTTTTGCCCGTTTTGTATTGCCTTCTACCCGTTCTCTTTGTATCTCTCTCTCTGTCTCTCTCTCTCTTTCTGTCTCTGTCTCTATCGCTGTGTTAACCGCCCCCTCGTTGCCTGCTGCTTTTAGCGTGTGTGTGTGTGTTGTGTTCGCTTCGCTTCGTCGCTCTCTGT